TTTTTTGAGATGGAGTCTCGCTCTGTCACCAGACTGGAGTGTAGTGGCGCGCTTTTGGCTTACTGCAACCTCCGCCTCCCGGGTTCAAGCGATTCTCCTGCCTTAGCCTCCTGAGTAGCTGGGACTACAGGCGTGCACCACTACACCTAGCTAACTTTTGTATTTTTAGTATAGACAGGGTTTCACCATGTTGGCCAGCACTGTCTCGATTTCTTGACCTTGTGATCCGCCTACCTTGGCATCCTAAAGTGCTGGGATTACAGGCGTGAGCCATCGCAACTGGCCCAAGAAAGTTCTTTAAAAATTTAGCAAAGCTCACTCTGCCTTCAGTTGGGAGAATGGACCATCTGGTAAGAGGAGGGATGAGGGAGCTGTCAGGAGACTGCTCCAAGGAGGAAGATGATGGGGGTTTAGATTGGAGTGGTGCAGCGCAGGTGGAGAAAAGAGAGCACATGTGACGAGAAGCCTGGACTAGGATTGGCAACTCTGGATATGGAGAAAAAAAGCAAAACTAGGAATCAAAGGTGGCACCCAAGTTTCCAAGGAGGGTTTGAGTGGTGATGCTAGTCCTGTGACAGGGAACACTGAAGGTCCTTAGTTCTCTTTAGGGTTGTGTTTGGGGCACCTGTCTAAACACAAGAGGAGATGGGCTTGGAGCTCCAGGGGCAAGATCCAGATTCAAAATAGAAATTCTGATATCACTGGCCTATAACTGTTCATCAAAATAATAGTTACAGGCCAGGTGCGGTGGCTCATGCCTGTAATTTCAGCACTTTGGGAGGCCTAGTTAGGAGGGACGCTTGAGCCCAGGAGTTCAAGACCAGCCTGGGCAACATAATGAGACCCCATCTCTAATAAAAATACAAAAAGTTAGCTGGGTGTGATGGTGCATGCCTGTAGTCCCAGCTCCTTGGGAGGCTGAGGTGGGAGGATTGCTTGAGCCAAGAGGTCAAGGCTGCAGTGAGTTGTGATTGCACCCCTGCACTCCAGCCTGGGGGAATAGAAAAAGAAAATGCCCCTTCTGCTCACACTCAGCAAGCACCTAGCTGAGGGCGCCTACAGATCACAGGGAAGCAGGAAGATCTAACTGCTTCTCTGTGCCCCTTTCAGGTCACAGTCAAAGTGCCTCAGAAGAACTCCTAAGAACCACGAGGGCTTCCTTCCTCAGCCATTGATCAAAAGTTCAACAAGATCAGCAACAAAGCCAAGAAAAATGATCCTTGCATGCTGAATATCTCAAAAGAGAAAATCTTCCCACAAAATCTCTTGGGTCAAGAAAGTTCTCGAATTTGAATTGATAAACATGGTGGGTTGGTTGAGGGTAAGAGTATATCGGGAACCTTTTAAACGGCAACAATACTGCTAGCTTTTGGGGTGATTTTTTAAAAATAGATTCAAATGTCTTATCCTCTCTCTGAAATGCTTCCTGTAACTTGAGTTTATGGGGGAAGAAAAAGCCATTGTTTAAAATTATATCAGCATCAGGGCATCTGTTACACCCTGTTTTGTATTCTGGGCTCAGATTCATTAAAAACAAGCTGCTCTTAACTTATTGGGTAACTCTTTGTCCATCTCAATAACCTAAGGAAGGCAGAGAACGGTGGCTCATGCCTGTAATCCCAGCACTTTGGGAGGCCGAGGCGGTGCATCATACAAGGTGAGGAGTTTGAGACCAGCCTGGCGAACACAGTGAAACCCCGTCTCTACTAAAAGTACAAAAATTAGCCAGGCATGGTGGCTGGTCCCTGTAATCCCAGCTACTTGGGAATCTGAGGCAGGAAAACTGCTTGAACCTGGGAGGTAGAGGTTGCAGTGAGTGGTATTTGCACCACTTCATTCTAGCCTGGGCATCAGAGTGAGACTCCATCTCAAAATAAATAATAAAATAACCCAAGGAAATGCTGCCAGGCAGGAATGATATGGCACACTGGATATGATTTCTCCCCCTCCTCTGCTGTGGGTAAACAGCTTGTTTCATGCATTTACCTTTTTATCTTAATTACACCAACAAGAATATCCTTGAACATTTCATGCATTTAATGAAGAAATACTTCTTGCCTGTTTACCCGTGGCAGCTCTGAGATGTGCTCTAGAGATCTCAGAGCACATCTAACATGTTGCTAAAAGAAAACCTAAACATGATGCCCAAGAGAGGGGAGAGGTAAATCAGAAAACAGACGCTGTATGTCCAACAGGGTCTTCGTGTGTCACCCAGGCTGGTGTGGCACCATCACAGCTCACTGCTGTCTCGACCTCCTGGGCTCAAATGATCCTCCTGCTCAGCTGCCTGGGCTAATGTTTGTATTTTTTGTAGAGATGGGGTTTTGCTATGTTGCCCAAGCTGTTTTCAAACTCCTGGATTCAAACAATCCTCACACCTCAACCTCCCAAAATGCTGGGATTACAGGCGTGAGCCACTGTGCCCAGGTCTGTTCTCAGTAAAAACTTGATTGGACCAAATAAAAACAACGTTGGCCAATTTCATAAGAGATGGATTTGGAAACCAGATGTGAATTTACTCAATTTAAGTGAGATCTATATCTTCAATAACTAGACCTCTTGAGTCTCCCATCCAGAACACTGTCTTCCTCTAGTCAAGATGCCTGGCAAAGGCTGGACACGGTGGCTCACATCTGTAATCCCAGCACTTTGGGAGGCCGAGGCCAGTGGACCACCTGAGGTCGGGAGTTCGAGACCAGCCTGACCAACATGGAGAAACCCTGTCTTTATTAAAAATACAAAAACAATAACAACAAAAAAAACCTAGCCAGGCATGGTGGCGGATGCCTGTAATCTCAGCTACTCGGGAGTCAGAGGCAAGAAAAATCACTTGAACCGAGGAGGTGGAGGTTGTGGTGAGCCGAGATCACGCCATTGTATTCCAGCCTGGGCAACAAGAGCGAAACTCTGTTTCAAAAAAAAAAATAAATAAATAAAACAAATAAAAATAAAGAAAAAGAAGAAATGGAAGCTGGGTTCGCGGGGGCAATCAGCAGCCTCTACCACCTTGTGAAACACCACTGTGATCTGACAGTCTTGACAATATATTTTCAAGGTACTGCCAAAATTACAGCTAACTCCTCTTTAACTACTCAGGATTTAGGGAGATGCCCTCCTTATGCATAACTTTATCATCAGCTTAACCCTCGTCTCATTATATAGGATGAGATTACTTCTAGGAAGGTTTTCCTTCTGGAGAGTGCATCATTTAAGAATATTTTAGGCCGGGGCACAATGGCTCATGCCTGTAATCCCAGCAGTTTGGGAAGCTGAGGTGGGTGATTTGCTTGAGCCCATGAGTTCTAGATCAGCCTGGTCAACATGGTGAAACCTCATCTCTACAAAAAAAAAATACAAAAACTAGCTGGACATGGTGGTGTGTGCCTGTGGTCCCAGCTACTCAGGAGACTGAGGTGGGAGGATCACTTGAGCCCAGGAGGTCGAGGCTGCAGTGAGTTGTGATTGCACTA